TCACGGGCTTATCTTGTAACCTGTTTACGACACTCCTGTGAGAATCGAAATGTACACGGGTGGTACCAACTTGTATCTCGTGTGAGATTTGAGTTCTTGTGATCTGGTGGGTGAACGTCGGGTTGACTTTACAGTCAAAATCAGATGAGCGGTGAGGGGAGTAGAGCGTTCTGTCAAAACAATTTTACCGTAGTATCAGGGGGAAATTCTCTTCTCTCTGGGTTCTCTACACGTGTCAGGGGGAAATCTCGCCTCGTCTCTATATCTCGTCCCCTTGAGGTACGGGATCGGGAAAGTCACTTTAACTTTACAGTCAAATAAGACACACACAACAAAATACGTTTCAGCTCTCGTCTTAGTCGGTCAATCGAGCACTCTATAAGACACGGCGCCCTGGGGAAAAGTCCCCAAGACTATCGCAAGGCTGAACCAAGACTCTCTTAAACTGCGTCAACACTCGCCCCAGGGCTCTCCAGGACTGCACTCGACTGCGTCTCTCGTGGTGTACTCCCCAAGACCAACTCAAAACTCTCTTTATTCATTTTCAAAACTTTAACCAATTACAATGCAGTAAAAAGACTCGTAACCTTCAATCATAAAGCCAATCACACTAAGTACTGAATACGTCATATCTTTTGATTAATCGTTCACTACATTAATAACTATGAAGATAAACGGACAGAATTAATAGTCTAAATAGCGGCGGTTATCTGGTAATTAGTTCCAAATCACTGAGCCAAGTTCCGTCCAAAACTTCAAATAGGCCTAAACGATGACAGACATAACACAGCAATTCGCTAATAATCAGCTAATTAAGTCGGTTAACAGATACGCAAAAACAAATTCATGACAGTAGACTCAATTTTAACGACCATTCTGCAGCGTTGTATTTATTATAAACAAGAATCCAAAAATAGAATATAAATACACACATACACTCGATTAAATTTTCTGGACATATATGCGACGCATGAACGAAAATTATCTATTGCAAAAGATATGATTTGGAACTGCCTGTGACGTGTTATCTGAGTGCCGTTTTGTCTTACAGTCAAATACAGAAACAAAAACTGATTTATTTTCTTATGCCAAGACCTGGTTGTTCATGCATTTCAAGCATGGCGTATTTACTTCTTGTACTCTGTGGTGTGTGCTGTGGAAACATCTGATTTCGCGGTTTTGAGCTGTCGAAGTATTTCGCGAAAAATAAAACAAAGGGTAACACCATACGAAGCAGTCAGGCCAATATCTTGTTGATATCCGAAACTTGGAACCTCTAACAGAACGGTTATTTCCTGCATGCCTACCAGTATTACACAACTACCATTTGCATCTCATTGCAGTCTGACACTTATTCACTGTACCCCTTATACAAAAAGTTTCATCCCTTAGAAAACGCAAGTGTTTGCCGTACGATCAAAAGAAAAATGTCCACATAGTAGTAACCAACATCGTTCTGGCGTTCCTAACACTGCATTGCTTCGTAGCAAATAATCACGGTAGCGCAATCCGACCATGCTACGTTTCATAATTATTATTATTACTTGGTAGTGATTATTAATAAGGTACAAAAAGTAAACTCATTGAATTGTTCTGAAATGCAAGTAAATTTCAATTTAGTTTCATCGTAAGCGAATGATTCCGGTCGCATGCAGATGCTCGAACACCTTATAGGTCAAATCGCTAATCAGCCAGTCAAAATACTCGGTGATGCCAACATGTTAAAATTACCAAAACGGAGGAGATTTGCCGATGTTCCAGCTTGATCTTTTACCCCTGGTTTTGATGGGAAGACGGCATGTTTTTTTTTGAAATCAAAACATTATTTGTTTTCGATGATAAACTGACCGTTTGAAGACTAATTTAATATTTTTACGGTGATAACAGCTCATTGTCGAAGCGAAGCTATTAAACCACAATAAACATCGTACTCTTGAATCGGCGTCAATGACTACGGTAAAATTTGTAAGGTTGTGGGTCAGGAGTGAGTGTTGTTTTGACTTGGGTATTGTGTTTTACATTCCAACAAGAAATTTTTGCGTGGTTTTATTTTTGCGCTTTTGGACTCACCGCGAAATTAAAACCAAGCGAATGATTTCTACTTCTACATTCAATTTATTGCAATGGATATCCCAAAGTCCGTAACCTAATGTTATTGAAATTGTTTACTGTCTTACATCGTCATGTCC